CCCCCCCCCCAAATTCATTTTTTATTGCAGATTCGGGGTCCTCTAGGGTAGCGCAGCACAACCCCACGTTCCAAAAAAAAAAAAAAAAAAATCCTTGCTGGGTTTTTGAGTCGCCCGGTTTCGCCGGGCAGACCCCCCGAGCCCAACCGGCGGGGGCCAGCCTGGCCGGGCGGAGGCCCAGCCTAGAAAAAACACGAAAAAATAAGTTTAAATAACAGAATCAGACCAAAGCACCCCCCTTGATCCCCCCTTTAAAACCAATTTATAGTAGTTTTATACCCCCCTTTCCCGCCAATCCTCAAAAGAAAAAAAAGAGCCTCTGGGCATGCGCGGAAAAGCCCCACCATGCGAGAAAAAAAAAAAAAAAAAAAGAACTTTTTCCCATGCCCAGCATGGGACCTGTCATGCCCGGGTGCCCAGCTGGGCAGGAGAATCTTCCTAGCCTTTTGACAACTTCAGGGCATTGATTCACAGTGCAAGGAAAAATGAGCGAGAGCGATAGACAGAAAACCAAAGTGCCATATCACATTGAAAGCCAGATAGTCGTGTCCCAAGCAGAAAGCACAATGCACTGACATACAAGCCAAATGAGAGCAATACGATGAACTCAAATGTCAATGTCGGCCTCTTCTCGCGACCACCAAAGTAGCCAATGTCGCCCTTTTCGATCGGTGCTCAGCGCCCAGCCTATCTCTACTCAGGACCTATATAGCCTACCACTACGACATGCGACAAGGAGTCACTTCCAGCTGGAGATCAATGTACGTGACAACGTTGCCCATGCAAATTGCCGCATACACCAGGTACGTGCCTCTCATCTCTCTCTTTCTCACCCCCTTCTCAACCTCCACATTGTTTGCCGCCTTCCGAAGACCACCATCGCCCACACTAGCATGTGTGGGGCCAGCCTGGCTATGGTTGCTGTGCCCCCACTGCCCTTGCAGCGCCCTCACCGTGTGCGCCTTCAGCCCGTGCGCCCTGGCGACTTCACGCGCCGAGGGCCAGAATGCCCTGCTGGGGGCGAGCACTTTCCTATATGCCCTGCCTTCGGGTGCCTGGGCCTGGCCACGGTGTTTCCAGTAGCTTCTGGTCGGGTCCCAGTATCTGCGCGCAGGCCCAATGCAACAGCGGTCTGGGCCTGCAACAGTTGAGCAGCCCAACTGTGCGATGTGGCCAGCATCACACGCTGCAATTCTATTGGCCGAACGGCCTCTGTCCATGTCGCTGCCTGGATGATCCCAGAGGCTCAGCATGTCGTGATCCCACAGAGCGCGGGCCTTGTAACCAGCGGGCGCGTGGCAACTGTCTGGCTCCCCCGCATGCAGAGATGACAAAACAAGGCCTCGTGTTGAAATGCAGGCCCGCCTTCGCTTACGGCGTGCACGAGGCTTGCTGGGGCTCCCTTTGTTGTGGGGTGTCGAGGCCTGGAAGGCCCTGCGAGGGGCTCAATCCTCCCATAAAGCATGGTCGAAAAGGAAATTGTACTCAGGCAAAAGTGGTTAACAAAAGGAGGTGGGGTAGGAGGAATGGTCAAGCTGGTGAAGAGTTGTGGGAGGATGAGGAAGGAAGGGAGAGGAGGAAGAAGGGGAGGGGTGTGCAGGAGCGGGAGCAGGACCCGATGTCTTCACCATTGCAATTGTGTTGTAACTTGTAATGTCAAAAAATGGAGCCATACTGCCACCCCAACACGGCCGCAGCATATCATCCACCTGCAGTTCACGACATCTCTCAACGGCACAACTTTCTGCAGAGGCCTAGCCAACAGTCCGACCGGCGGTGGATGCAGCCACAAGATCCAGGTCTGGTCTCCTAGCCAATAACGGTCCGCGTAACTCTGATCAATTGGGCCTTGGATCCATCCCCAATGCCCCACACATCCGAACCAGCAATCTCGAGCATGATAGCTCGATGTTTTTGCCACCGCAACCGTTGCACTGCGTTCAGAAGTGGAATCATACCAGTCATGGCGTTCACCCCACACCTGCATGGTTGCAGTATATCATCCACCCACCCAAAGTTCACAACATCACTCGAGAGCCGAGCCCCTCCTGCAGGCTATGGCTCAACTTTCTGCATGGGTCTAGCCCGACAGTTCACCCAACCCCCCCTGTGGACGCAGCCACTAAAATCCGGGCACAATCTCCTGGAAGGTTACTGACATCGCAACTGGGCAGTCCGGCCTTGGATCCGTTTGTGACATTATGCTGAGTGTAAGCAGCAAAGGGCCTCGCTCGACTACTCACCAAATGTTCAAAATGAGGAGTCTTCCGCTAGAACATGAGAAGATACACCGTCAGAACATGAGAAGATACACCATCATATTTTTTTGTTTTTTGTGCATGTGGTGAGTTGGAGCGAGGCTCAGCATCTGGCATAACAGATGGACGTCTTCACCACTGCAACCATGACAAAGTGTCGAAAAGTGCAGTTGTACTGGTCGTGACATCAGGTATGGCTATGGAACATTCCCTTTTTAAACAAGCATCGTCAGCACATCAGATTTTTGGATCCAAAGCGCATTTAATTTGTTCAGAGATCATAACTACTAAATAGAAGTGCAAAACACCCAAACCCAAAATACATAAAGGGGCCCAGCTTGTACGCAATCAATTGTTTTTCAAATCTTCATTTGAGATTTTCGTGATTTAAGCCGAGGGGGAGAACATTTTCAGAAAACTCTCTTTACTTTAAATGTCCCTATGGATGCATGAAAGACCCACTTGTGTGCAAAGCAGGCCAAGAGCCCAACCCTCCTTTTTGTGGTTTCCTTGCTTTTGTCTTGTTTTTGCTCGCACTCTTACTTTACGGGCTATGCTGTATTGTAGAAGCATCGTTAAGCATAGCCGAAGTACTGATGCATCGACTCACTAGTTTAGAGTCTCTTGCTGAATGGCAGGGGTTCATGCATTTGAAGCTGGCACAGAAGCAATCAAGAAGTACGGGCGTGCAAAAAGAGGTGACAGATCCATGCTGGATGCTCTTCTCCCTGCTGTCGATACTCTCAAGGAGGTGAGCTGAAAGGTTCTTCACCCAGTTCGTGCGGCAAGTGCAGATCCCAGGGCTCGATCCCTAGACCTATCCCATACCCTTGTACAGTTACCGACGCCCTGCATGCCTTGAACCTGCGACCTGTCCCTTAAAACGTATGTCTGTGTGTTATGTACTAGTCAGGGTCGTGTGGACTTGAACCGTAGACTATAGGATTAGTAGACCTAAGGGTTCTGTCCAGCCCTTAGCCCAGGATCTTCTAGATGTCAGTAGGTTAGCTGAGTCATCGAGGGGGAGGTTAGCCCTAAGTATAGTGAAGGGTCAGTCAGTCGTAGCCTAGGAGGTTCTAGAATCGTCAACTTGACCTTTCGAGGCTGTAGAAGTCAGTCATCCGTAGATGAGTCAGCGAAGTACAGTCCAGTCCCAGTTGCAGTCACAGTCAACCTTGTCTAGTCAGCAAGTACCAGGCGGGGCTGCACATTCCTTGGGCCTGGGACAGAAGGCAGGCCAGACCACGACGAAACGGTATAAATAAAGAGGCAGCGCCCAGCTATTCATTCATTCGCCTGCGAGCCATGCGGAAGTGCTGCTAGTGCGATTTGTGTGTTGGAGGTCTGCTGGTGCCCGATGACGAAGAGGGAAGAGGTGGATGACAACGGACATAGCCACCTAGAGGAGGAAGATGACGACGACCATAGCCACCCAGGGCTGACGTCAACAGATAGGACGTAGTGTGTGTGTGTGTGTGAGTGCGTGGACATTCAGGGTAGATCCAAGTGCATGCGTGTGTGTGAGTGACTGCGAGGTGTCTGATGGTGAATACAGTGTACGGATGCGAATTCAGACAGCGTCCAGCGGCCATAGCCGCTAGATGTAACGAGTTTGACTTAGCTGTGTTCCTGGCTGAAGGGCATATCTCTGAGTTTTCTGTGTGTGCGCGAGGCGCCATCGCAAGTTGTTGCTGACCTTTGTGTTTCAGGGGTTGTTTGCCATCGGCATCTACATGCATGCATGCTCGAGTGAAGTTGAGACAACTCTGAATGCAGAGCTCATGCAGACAGAAAATAAGTGTGCCACTGGCGGTTTGGTAAAGTTTGGTGCGCAGTGAGAATCCGCCATGGCAAAAGGAGGCTCAGATGCACCGGTCCCTTAAGCCGGGCTGCAGGAGGATTTACCGCCAGATGAGCCTTGAATCTGTTTTGGACTCCTCTCAGCTCACGCATTTGCATGTACTGCCAGGATATGCGAAGTTCGACCAGCTAAAAAGCCTAAAATGTCGAGTTGTGTGTGGTCCATAAGCAGGTCGCCCCACTTAACTCGTTGATATGCAGAAAGTGACAGGATTGACATATTTGTTTGCTTCCCCTGCTGGATCAAGCAACTGTTCTCTCATGAAGAAGATGGTGGTCCTTCATTGATGTAGTCTTTCAGGGTTAGGCCCAAATTGGGTTTGTCTCTCCCTGTGTACCGCATGTCCTTGTCCTGTTTATGAACTCAAGTTGTGCCATGCCTTTCATCTAAAGATGCTGGCCTGCGATCGACGGCTACTTTTCGATTGCCCAGCCATATCTTTGCGAACTTTGCCTCGTCTGGCTTCCCCTGGATTACCTTCCTCACTTATCTCCCCTTGCTTGTGATTTCCAGCTCGATCAGGTACTTTGTGAAACCTCCAGTACTTCGAAATTTGCGGCCGCATGCGTGACGCAACATGCTACAATGAACGGGCCTGGGGCACTGGCACAAATTCATTCAAGCGAAAACAACGCGGTACTGTAGCAATGGCTGGCTGAATGCACGCCGCAACCTCCAGAAGTACTGGTGGTTCAAGTACCGCACTTCTACCCTGTTGTGAAGTCTCTTGTCCAGGGTTGGGCTGCACATCTTTTTCCAGATTACCCTCAGAGTCGCCTTTCTCGTCAGACAGAACGACGTTCTTCTGTAGTTGCAAACTTGAAGGACGATGTTGGTCCACAGGAGTCCTAGGGCTTTACCAGAGGGTTTGTTCTTTAGCCCATTACCATTAGGCTTCCTTTCAGAAATCAGACAGTGGTCATGGTTTCTTGTATGTTGTCGAAGCAAACTGCACAGATGTCAGAGCTGCTGGGGAAAGTCAGGGGCATATCCCAATCTCTCCATCCGAGCCTTCACCATTGCGTTTTCTTTTGCCAATTCCTCCTCATCATCAGTTGGACGACTCATCATCAGGCCCGTGAGGACCTTTCTCTCTTACCCCCTTTTTTTCCCCTGAAATGGTAGCCCTTCACATGGTGCATTTGGTGAGGATTTGAACCCATGTTACCTGGCCGGACGTCCGGGACACCCCTGGCCGTCCGGGGTTGTCCGGTCAGACAACCTGTCGGATGTCCTCCCGGGGCAGTCTGTCCAAGCTTGAAAGCAAAAAAAAAAAAAAAAAAAAAAAAAAAAAAAAAAAAAAAAAAAAAAAAAAAAAAAAAAACTATGTTATGCAGAAAAACAAACTGAACAACTTTTGCCTTGGGGTCACATCGAAATTCTTTATCAAATTTAAACCACCACTACCTTAGCCAGTGTTGAGAAAAACGGGAATATATGTCACACGGACTCGCACCGTATTTTTCGGGGTCGGGTAGAGGCTTGGCGAGAAGAAAATTTTTGGGTCTCGTGGGCCCGTGTGAAAACCAAGGAAAAAAAAAAAAAAAAAAAAAAGGAGCAGCATATTTGAAAGGAAGGAAGTCGTAAGGAAGTGTGCTCACAATGGTGCTTCAAGGAATGCATCTGCCCATAATATTGGCTTGTTTCGTATCTTGTTCTTTTGTTGTTTGTTTTTTTTTCTTCTCAGTTCGTTTTAGTGTCCTGCCAACGAGGCAGGGCGTTTTTTTTTTGTTTTTTTTTTTTTTTAATAACCAAGCACTTTATTAAAAATCAATTCATCGAGGTCGGGGATCCTCACAATTCGACCCGGATGAACTTGCTGACAGCATCAGCCAGCTTAGCTTAGGCTTCAGAGGGGTACTTTAATCTAAGAACAGTTCCAGTCCCAAGGACCTCTGTCCTGACATTCCCACCCTGAGCTATATAACAACCAATGCCTCCAGGGCCAACAAAACCGAACAATCCAAAAAAAACAAATATTAAAAGTGAAATTAAAAGTAAACAAAGCAACAAACCACACCCCACCCTCCTAGCTTTTCCTCTTCCACCTGTGCCTTTTTTTTTTTTTCTTTTTTTTTTTTGGACCTGTGCCTTACCACACTACCTTTCCTCTATATCCTAATGTGCTGTCTAATTTCGACAGACAGCTGACAAATGCAAACAAAAGGGGAAAAAACAAAAACGGAGGTGCACAGTTGAAAGGAAGGACGTCAAAGGGGGAAGCTGTGAAGGAGATGTGCTCACATTAGTGCTTCCAGGAATGCATCTGCCCATAATATTGGCTTGTTTCATGTTCTGTTTTTTAAACTTACGTTTCACTGCCCTGCCAACGAGGCAGGGCGCTTTCCACGGACAGCTGACAATTGCAACAGACGGGGCTCCAATGTCACATGTATTCAAAATTCTGTATCCAGCTGTTCTCGTGTCCAAAGAGTAGTTCCGTGTTGTTCTTTTTTCAAGTGTTTTTCCTTTTTTTTTTTTAATAGAGCCATGTTTTGCTGAGGGCTGTAATGCCCTCCAGCTGATTTCACGTCCCCAGCATATTAGTTGGTTTTTCCCTTCTATAAAGTTTCATTTCGTATTTCTATTTTTTTTTCTTTCATTTTTGCAGAGCACCGGAAAAGAAAATACAATGGGACCCAGGTTCGACAAACTCGGTGCGCAGTGAAATTCAGGGTCGGTAAAAATAGGATCAGAGGTAGTGGTGGTTTAAATTTTAAAATAAAAAATTCAATTAAAGACACCCCCAATTTTTTATTTTTTTTCCGTGCTTTAAACTGCTGAAAATGGAGTTGTCCGGGCCTGGACGTCCGGGACCCCCCCTGACCATCCGGCCAGGACGTCCTGCCATCGGATAACTGGTAGCCTAGATTTGAACCTTGAAACTTTCCCTCTGTGGACAAACAGTTCCAGGTTGTGTATCATGGAGATGGAGCCATGAAGCACGCGGGTATCGATTCTACCTTTCCTGTCCCCTCTCTGTGCCTTCCTTGATGTGAGTCAAATTCAGTCTGACGGATAAATGGTTACTTCAGCTCGAACTTTCAATCTTGAAGTTCTCTAACATGTTCCTCTGCTGAATCACCATGCCAATCTGCTTGACTTTATTTTTGCTGCTTTGTTTGGCCTTGTGCTGTCTCCTGGCTTTCTCACACTCAGCATGTGGTCCGAGGACGGTCGAACCCTGTCACTGCGTTCTTGGAAGCAGCCAAGGCAGCAAGATTTGGTGCAGAATCTACCAAGCATATGGATGCACAGGCGAGTGAATCAGGACTCAGACCTACTTTGCAGTTATGGGTTTGTGAGGCGACCTAGATGCGGGTTCTTAGCACGGCTACACCAGGCCCAGACATTGGACCAGACTGGACAAGATTAGGACCAAGGTCTGAAAGCAGTCCAGATGTCTGGACCACCTTCGAACGATGGTCCTAATCTCATCCAGCCTGGTCCAAACGTGCTCATCGTAGTCCCAGTCTGGACACAGGTGGTGCAGACATCTGCATCTGGACACCACTCTCTTTTTGCACTTCTCATTATTTCTGTATGATCAACATGGTCATAGGGCATACTAACACTAGCACTTTCCGAAATGCATCTGACAGCAGCGACAGCTGAGCATGGGTGAATCTGTGACTGCTATCAGGTCCAGAGCTTTGTAGAAGAAGTCGTAGCGTGAGTATGCCCTTATCATAAGCTGATGATCGCCAACAATCCTGTCTAATTAAAATCTAAATGTATTTTTGTTTTAACAAGCATACAAACTTACAAAGATTGTCCCTCGGGACATCCGTTAAAATTGGAAGTTGGAACCATACAGAGAAGATTAGCATGGCTCCTGTGAAAGGATGACACGCATAAATTGAGAAATGGTCCAAGAAATTGAAAATTGAAAATTTTTAAATTGCAAAAAAAAATAATAAAAAAAAAAAGCTAGGCGGCCGACATCTGCTTGAAGGGCCAGGTGCTCGTACCACCGGGGTGATATCTGTTCAGCCCTTTGGATCTAGGCTGTAAACCCGGTAGGACCGGGGGACCCTCCCCCAACCGGACCGGTCGACCAGGCCGGTTCCCTCCAGGTTGGCCGTAGCGCGTCAATTTTTATTTTATTTTTATTTTTATTTTATTTTATTTTTATCTTTTTAAGCCCAGGGTGTTGTAGAGGCCAAGGACTAGACCCACGGTGATTGGTGGCAGCGGCAGCCGGTGGCTGTCCTGACAGGATACGCCACCTTCCCTACCTCTCCCCACGTTAAATACTCCCAACGCACCTCCTGTCCCTACTATCCTACCTCAGTGTGACCAGCACTCAGGACTATCACCCTACCAGTATCGAGGATTACTTGGAGCAGACAGCAGTGACAAGCACCAAGGGGCCGTAGCGCATCCAATCTGGGGGGTCTTACCGTTTTTTTTTGGGGCCAGGAGGCCTCCACGCAGGCCTTGGAGGTCTCCTGGCCCAAAAAAAAATCAGACCAGGTCCGGTAGGCCCTCCACAAAGGCTTGAAAAGGGTGGCCTATCTGGACCGCTTATCTCAAGCAGAGAGCGCAAACGGGTAACCGTCGCCCGTATCCTACCTTACACAACTGTAACCGCCAGGTTACGGGCAGGGCTGGGTACCCCTTCCAAAGGGGGAGTTGGGTATGGGCAGGCAAAAAATCTAGAGGTCGTTGTTAGGACCTGCACAGTTGCCCTTATGGAGATCATGGGCCGGTTGGGGCATGGAGGGGGGGAGGAAGGGGGGGGGGAGGGGAGAACCCTGTTATGGGCGGCCAAAATGAAAAATAAAACGGGTCTGGGCAGGTACGGGTGGCAACAAAAAAATCTGGTATGGGTATTGGCGGGTAGAGGTTCCTATCAGGTAACAGTGGTAAACTATTACCTACCCATTCCAACCCCCCAATCCAGCCACCACCACCCCCTTCTCTCTCGCCACCACAAGTTCTAGGCCCAATTTATTTTTCCCGCTGCCTCGTCCGAAGTCCCAAACGGCAAAATTTTGTTTCTTTTTTTCGGACCGTCAGGCTGCTGTGTTGTTGAGGTCCACAAGTTTCCGGACTTCGAGTGGGCCTCGCTCCACTACTCACGGAATGCAAAGAAGACAAACAAAGAAGGCAATTTATCTTCCCATGTTGCGGCGGAAGATTCATTCTCATTCCCAATATTTTGTGAGCCGTCGAGCGAGGCCCATTGCCTCCCTCCCGTTTGCATTGCCTCCTGCCCCTTCCCATTCCCTGTTCCCACAACTCCTCGGAGTCCCCGCCTGTCACTCATGTCCCCACCCAGCATGCTCCTCGCCAGCCGTTGTTGTCCATCCTCCGTAGCTTCCATGGTCGGCGTCACAGGTGTGATCGGCAGCGGCAGCAGGCGTCAGGACTCAGGAGATCACAGGCAGTTACGGGTGGGTGCGTACAGTTGTTGGTGGGGTACGGGTAAAGAAAACCTGGGCTGGGTAGGGTACGGGTGGTTAACAAACGGTTTGGGTTCGGGTGGCCATGGGTGGTTTTGAAAGAAAATGTCCACGGGCAGGTATGGGTAGATATAGTCTGAAGAGGTTCAGGTAGGGCAGGTATGGGTACACGTCTTTTTCTTGTGGAGCAGGTAGGGATGGGTAAAGGTCAGGTAGGCCAGGTATATAGTGGGTATGGGTGGTTGATTTCAAAGAGGGTGTGGTTAGGTTCGGTACAGGTATTTCTACAAATCCTGGTTGTGAACTCTGATCTCAAGAGATCGGCAGCCCAGAGAGGCCGCCCTTTTCAATGTTTTTGGGTGGGAAGTACCGTCCCTACCCTGTACGTTGTTGTCAATGTCTGCTGAAGCCTGTGCTTGCGGAAACCCCACCACTAACACCCTCACCATGAACCCCCCAACCCCCGAACCCCATGAAATAACCCCTCAAACAAAACTTTCAAAGTTTTCTTTGCGGATTCGGGGAGATCTCGGCGAGCACAGTCTAACCATGTTTTCAAAAAAAAAAAAGAAAAAAAAAAGACCCACTTTTGGGCCCAACCGGAATTCCGATTGGACCAGCGGGGGTCCAACCGGCCGGTTGTCGGCACAGCCTAGCTTTGGACACCAAAACAGCCGCGAAATTGGAAATTGCTCATTTCAGAATGCAGGACTTTTAAGGGTATACTCACACCTAGACGTGCATGGATGTTCATAATCGTTATTGCCGCCATATTCATTTGGAAAAAAGTCCAGAGCGTAAGCCATAAGACAGAAAGGCGGGGTTTGCAAATGGGCTCTCTGTGTTCCTCAGTACATACCTCCCAGCTGAAGGAAGCCCAATATATTCACTGCATGAGCGGCAAACACTCTGAACACTTCGAATTTTAAGGTGCTGCTCAATGCTTGTTCCATGGAAACTACCACGCCTGAATTCCTACTATGCCTGAATTTGTCTTTTTTGGGATGTGTTATGATCCTGGCTATCCTGCAGGGCAAAAACTCAAAGAAAGATAATGTCGTTCAATTGCCACTGAAATGAAAGAACTTGGACACAGAAATAGACAAAGGAAGAAGAAGAAAAAAACGGAAGAAGAAGAAGAAGATGAACATCGCGAACCGGGGAAGTACCACCAGCCTCTTGGACCAGGAATCCAAGACCCCGGTCACTATTCAAGAGCAGCAAGTACAAAAAGTAAGAGTAGTGGAAACGGAGGATTTCATGATATTTAGCCCAACCACTCCAATAGAAGATCTCGAAATTGACCCGGCGGAGTGGGCGTGGAATCTCAGATGAAGGTTGAGAATATCCAGAAGAATCAACATACTCAAATACACAACTCGAATCGGTATTCGACTAAGCAGATGTCACCACCCCCTGAAGACAGCACTCACGAAGCGTTGGGAAAACAGAGTGGGAGTCTCCCCGGGGTAACTACCGGCAACATCATGGGCTCTGATCACTAAGATAAGACTTGGCCGAGTCAGGAGCATGCAGTGGCTAATTGCACATGTCGCACTACCGGTAAACACCTGGCTAAACGAAAGGAGAAGTCGAGCAATGAGAGACCCGTCCAACGCCTTGTGTTTTGTTTGTCAGCAGGGCTCAGTGGAAACAATGTAACATGGCTTGCTGGCATGCCCAGAGGCAGAGAGCCTATGGGAAATAGCCAGAACCCTCTGGAGACAGATGACGCATAAGCCATTCGCGCAAGAAAAGGCGAGCCTGCTACTGGGCCACAACTGCCCCAGAGACTGGCCAATCTTTGAGAAACAGCTGTTCCAACTCATAAGACAGTATACAGTATGGACGATTTGGAAAAGACGCTGTCGGCCTTTTGGCTAAGATCAAGTGTTGTATCTGTTCTGATCAGTTTAATATCTGATCCGTGGTCCATCGGGCCACATGATATTAAATTAAATTTTCAGGGCTATGGAGGGGTCATAGGGGTAGGCTTGCCTGCTCAACCCCGTCCAGTGTTGCCTTCATCTTGCACTACAGCGAAGCGTGGCGCAGCCCACTCCCCCCCCGGGGATTAAAAAAAAAAAAAAAAAAGGAAAGACAGCAATGAACAGACAGGAAGCAACGGAGGTCTAAAACTTAATGGAAACTGACGTCGGGACACAGTGGAAAAGAGCGTGGCGGCAGATAAGACAGCAACCAGAACAAGAACAGCATTTGAAAGGCAGGTTCGATCGCAGAATTCTGGGGAGTGGCAAAGTTGCAACCATCCAGGCCTCAGGCCTTGTATTTATGTGGAGACACAGAGGACGAGGTGGCGGAGGTAAAGGGAAAGAGGAGCAACAGCAGTAGGGTTTAGGGTTTAAGGCGAGGATAGGTGGAAAAAGAGAGAGGGGAGGGAGAAGTTAGGCGGAGGAAAATAGAGATAGGTTTAGGGTTTAGCATCTTGGGACACTCCGCAGGGGGGTCAGTTCTTCCATCTCATTTCAGCTCTTTCATTTCTTAAGTGCAACCTGGGCGTAGGATTGCCAGTTCTTTCGGCTCCTAAGTGCAACCTAGAAACAGGGAGGAAGGTTCTTTCCTTTATTGCTATTTGTCTTTTGTTAATCCAGTTTTGTCTTTGTTCAGGAATAGCATGTAGTTTGACAGGAGAAAGGGACCCAGTTTCCAGTATGAACCTGATCTGGGTAATGGCCCCAGTCTTCTGGGTTGAGATGTGGAGGGATTCCCGGCCTCCGTTTGCTCTATATATAATGAAGCATGCTATTAAAAATAAAAAAAAAATAAAAAAATGATGATGAACACCAGCAAAGACCAACCAATGTCAGTTCCTCCTCAACTCACCACCTTCTTGAACCTCCAATAATTTTCCCCAACCTCTCAATAATAATAACAATGAAAGAATGAACCAGAACCAATGTCCGAATCCTTCCCTTACTCCCTGCCACTCGAGAGGTCCACCTTGGCCATCTCACACCTCCTCCTTCTCCTACTTGGTCTAGCTGGTGGCTATGGCAAAGGACAAGCTTCTATGTCCCTCCTACTATGGACGCCATGCCTTCTACCACCCCCGGAGTCTTCCTTGAAGGTATCACCCGACTTGGGGCCTTCCAGGTGCAGCACCAACCAAGAAGATGAAGATGCAGAGCACCATAGCCAGGTAAGCTCCTCCCATCACTCTCCTCCTTGCTCACCGTCTTCCTCCTACTACTTCTCCCCAGATGCTCCTCCTTGGTCTTCTCCACCATAGCCAAGGTGGGAGGCCAAGCCTGCCTTCTTCCTCAGCCGGTGCTGCTTCAGCTGGGTGGTTGCTCCAGCAGCATGCCTCCAAGCTGCATGCCCGCAAATGAGGCGGAGCATTTGGCCTCCCGGTCCAATGTACCGGCGAATTGCCTCCTCGTGTGGTTGCTTCAAGGCCTCGCACCCTTCCTGTCCACCCGGTATTCTCCTTTTTTCGGAAGGAAACATCATTGCAGTCTGATATCCCCTCCTGCAGGCTCTAGACTCAGGCTACTTAGACCGGTACCTTTTTCTCTAAGCATACCGGACTCTAGATTCTACCCCGACCTCCCAAGGTACTAAATTTTTGTCTTTTTCTGCCTACCTACCCGCTGCTTGAGTGTTTCTGGCCGTCACGGTCCTTCCCAGCTCGACTATCCCACTGCGCCCGCACAACAACACAGCCACAGGTAAGTACCAGGTCGAAGGGCCCTTTCCAGCCACAAGTACCCCAGAGGGTCACAGACCGCATATAGCTACAATATTTTTTATTTTTTATTTTTTTTCTAAAAAAAGTCTTGTGGTATGTAAAACCACGATCAGCCATGCAAACACATGGAGACTCAGCAATCACGCACACACACGGGATGAGTGTATGCCGAGTAGCATAGATGGATGACTGTTCACGTGGATGAGCTATACGGGTGCCAACGAATATGCTGGACATGTGGTCTATTGAGGTTTGACCGAGTGATCAACCGTCTTTTGGAACCATGGCAAAGAAGTTTCACGTTCGCCTAAATCGTGGTTGGCCACGTGTTGAAGCTGAATTTTGAGGTGTTGAAGCTTTTTTTTAATCGTTCCTTTTCTTTTCCACTCAAAAGAAGACAATCCCAGACTAAACGGTTCTGGTCCTGCTAGCAAGCCCCGCCCAGATTCCCCCCCCCCCGCCAAAAAAAAGCAATGATTCTGGAGGGTATGGCAATTGTCGACCAGTACTGGTACCCATAATAATACCAGTTTGCTGCTGGCCCTTTTTTGTTTTTGGTTTTCCCAAAGAAGACAACACTCCTTCCATTCTGGGTATTGTAGTGATGGAAAAGAGGAATTGTTGCATATATACAACCGCTTGTTGACAAGGAGGCCTGACAAATGCAAATCTGACTAGGAGGCGCACATTGGGTGTTTGTATGTACAGGCTGGACGAGCAAGCTATGTTAATAAAGCTGTTTCGCAGGGACAACCTGATCCTGGAGCCATGGCAGTGGCAGCCTGGCTGAAGGCAGCAGCGACTGCTGTGGAGCGGACCCTATCTGCGATGTGATCTCTCTCTCTCTCTCTCTCTCTCTCTCTCTCTCTCTCTCTCTCTCTCTCTCTCTCTCTCTCTCTCTCTCTCTCTCTCTC